AATTTTCATCATGAAATGTAAAGTCTGGTTTGTAAGCTGTGATATTCATTCAGTACAAAATTTCAACTGAAGCTGACAGGGGGCTTGCAGGGTAGAAGTTGAGCAAGCACCCCCAGAATTAACCCACTGCTATCAATTAAATTTGTTGTCTTTAAACCTACAAATAATAAAATCTTTGGAAAAGTGTCATTATGATGTAAATATACCAAGCCTCACCCTAAATTGATTTCCTTTCTCCTTTTAATACAGACTCCACAAGGAGGAGAAATACTAACAGATCTCAGAATTTAATGAGAGCATTGACATAGTAGAAATTACTCTTTTAAGGTTATAAAATACAAAAATTCCAGTGGTCTCTTCAAGAGTGAAAGGATGAAGGTGCTTAAAGGCACTGCCAGATGTATTGAGATGCAAAATCCAGTGGCTTTTGTTAAAAACTAAAATACCCCCTGAAATATTTGCATTACTTTCCATGAACTAGAGTGGAAATGCCAGAGGAAGTAGAAAAAAAATTCTGCTACAAATGATTTTCCATGGGTTATGCTTGTAAGAATGAAAACTGGAAGTAGATTTCATGCTCTTTGAAATTGCTGAATCATAGTTCTTCCACTTGGCCCGGGGAGGCTGAGATCAGCAGGGATTTCCTCAGGCTACTGATGCAAACTCTGTGCTCTAAGAATACTGCTTGATAGCAGTTTGCCCATATCAAAAGAAAGTATCTCTACTGTAATACCAGCATGAATGAATACAGACTGTAGAACTGATGATGGAGGCTTAAATGGCCCTTTCTAAGGACTAACCTTGTGAAAAGAGCAGAATCAGAGAATCTTTTGAGGTAAACTGTTTATTTGGTACCCCTATACTCAAATATACCACTGAATCCCTCTCTAACTTAGGCATGGGGAAATTGGGTGCCAAGAATTGCAAGTGCTAGCAGGCAAAGCAAAGCCAGTTTTCATTGTTGCAGATCTCTCATTTTGACTTTGCAAGGAACTTTGATGTCTCGCTCTGTAGTTAGGACTATCCCATGTTGTGTTTTCCTTTGTAGATATATTTTCCTGCTTTTAATTTGAGGAATTCTGGCAACTTGGTTGAAACTGCTGCTATCGCTGGGCTGTTACAAATCTAAAAAGTCCAAATGGTTCCACAAAGCACGTGCAGACAATCAGCTTCAAGTCTAATACAGATATATTTATTTCTGTTTGCAGAATTTCAGAATGTGGTAGCCTTGCTGATATCTCTGGAAAGGAAAATCAACGTTGCTGTGTAAATATTAACCACAGTACACAAAAACCCTCAAGAGAACTTGCTGGTGTTTAAAAATCATACTGCTGATCTGCAGAGCTTGAGTGACTCCACTGGAGAATGGTCATACTCATTCAGAATCCTTGTGTTGGTTCTTCCCCCTTGTTTTCTTGGCCCTGTGTAAATATAGGTTATATCTGATGGTGTAAGAAGAGACTTGGTGCAGTTATTCTTCATTTTTACGTTAGTAAGGATATCAGTAGGGTTATAGAAATATCAAGCCACAGTTGAATATTCACATCTTCTGAATTAGGCTAGGAATTGTGATGAGTTATGATCTTTCTAAGAAAGAGATATATGAAATATATGAAAATGAAATGTATGAAAAGCACGTGTCTTATGAGGAGCAGCTGAGGGAACTGGGGTTGTTTAGCCTGGAGAAAAGGAGGCTCAGGGGAGACCTTATCGCGCTCTACACCTACCTGAAAGGAGGTGGTAGCGAGGTGGGTGTCAGTCTCTTCTCCCAAGTAACAAGCAATAGGACAAGAAACGGCCTCAAGTTGTGCCAGGGGAGGTTTAGATTTGATATTAGGAAGAATTTCTTCACCAAAAGGGTTGTCAAGTATTGGAAGAGGCTGCCCAGGGAAATGATGGAGTCACCATCCCTGGAGGTATTGAAAAGACGTGTAGATGTGGTGCTTAGGGACATGGTTTAGTGGTGGACTTGGCAGTGTTAGGTTTACGGTTGGACTTGATGATCTTAAAGGTCTTTTCCAACCTAAACGATTCTATGAAAATCTGTTTTAGACTGGTCAATCAAAAAAACTTTAAAACAAAGAATTTCAATATATTGTGATGCTTTCCCTTTTCTCTAAATCCAGGTATGTGGTTGATTTACTCTTCAAAGGAAGGGTAAAATTCGGGGGGGGGGGAAGCCTGTTTTGTTTCTTTGTGATTCACATTGAAAGCCTTAAGAAGAAATATTTGAAAAGTAGTACTAAACAAATATTTTGTTTTTGTATATTTTTTCTACTTTTTGAGCTTTTACTGTTAGTGTTTTAAGTTTTCCCATTCAACCTTAATGACTATAAATTCAGTGGAAGATTGTATCACATAATTGTGCTGAAGTTTCCAGACAGTGCTGAATATTATAGAATTCCATGGGAAATTATGCTAGTTTGCAGGGTTTTACTCTTTGTTTTAAGAGTCCTCCTCTGGCCCCTTTTTTAATTACAGAATTTCATGATGTGTCTACTTCCCCGTCCTCCCAGGAAGATGATTTTTTGGAGGCTGGAAATCTAAGGGAATTATGACACTAAATATACTGAACTAAACTATAGTGTAAACTATACTAAACTAAACCTAATTTACAGACTTGTAAACAACCTGAATAAAAAGAATTTTCTTTAAATGCCTTTTTAAATTGATCAGTCTATAGCTTAAAGATTTGTGTGTTGGTGATTGAGCATTTCTTGTTCTAGTTATATTTCCAGTGATTCCTCCAAGAAACAGAGAAAGACAAGCCCATGCATAGTTGACCTTTCTAAGAAGCAGCAGAAAAATATATTTTGTCTTTAGGGGGAAAAGAAGCAACATTTAAACTTTGTGCATCTTGAAGAAATAAGTAAGGCAAATCTCATATTTTACTATGTTAGTAAATCCCTACCTTAAGGATTGACATATGTAATTAATTTGATTTTTAAAAAAATCTATTCCAACCGAAGTATACGTGCAGTTAGAGAATTATATGTAGATAAGTTGATGTAGAGATAATACGTTACCATGACAAACAGGCCAAAGTTGCTTCTGATATGGAGAATTACCTTATTTGTCTGGATGAATTTGGCAGTGTTATATGGTTACAAGTTGAAACCAAATAATTGCTTTAAGTGGAGAAGAATGGAATCAGCAGTATGAGTGTGCTAATCTTTTTCTTCCTTTCTTTTTTGCTTGACTTTTGAGGATTGTGTAGACTTTGGGATAGAACTGTAAATTTATTTACAAGTGACTCTTAGATTGTAAAATACACGTTAATCTTTCAAAAGGGGAATGAACTCCCTCATGTATTGTCATATATTCTTACTCTTGCGTATCTTTAATTTCAGTCTTTGTGATCAGATGATGACGTTCAATGTAGCTTCTGACCAACTGATATTGTCAATTACTTTCAGAACAAATTTTAAAAGGTCCCTTTGTTGTTAATGAATGGTCACTCTTGGATGAAGACAGATGACATTTAGACTTCGATATTTTTGGTTTAGTGCAAGGGTCAGTTTTATAGCATTGTTAAATAACACTGAAGAATATGCATGAAGAAGCATTGAGAAATGTCACACTTTATCAATGAGTGTTCACTATTTTCTACTTGGTTTGGTCATGGAATGTTCACTGTACAAAGCCTCGTGGTCATGAATTTTATTTGCCTTGTAACTTGCATAGTTAACCTGTACAGAATTAATATCAAACTGACTTTGAGCCACAGGAACAGTACTGTGTGTGTATGTGTGTGTATTGTTGTGGCTGTAATTTCAACTGCACATACCATTTGTTTGCAGTAATAATGGAAGCTCATTCATGAAACTGGTCCATCTAAGTCAAATTTTTACACTTTAGCTGGTTTTGATTCTGCAATGCAGAATGTTGTCATGAAGAAACATAGCTCACAGGAAAGTACAATGCTAAGTATCTCTAGTTGCAGTTTCACATTTTTATTTGACCGAAATTAATAGCTCTCTGTCAGAATAGTTCCCCTTCCATTGCTTCTGCTGCTCTTCCTTCCCTCCTTGTTGCATTGTGCCTTCCTTGGAATTTGTATGGATAAACTGGTTCAACTCACTAGAACAGCAGAAAAATAACTCCACAATACACAAATTAACAGATTTTGCTGGTCTGCTGTTCACTGTGTTGCTACTTGCTGTAGGACCAGACAAATGTCAAAGGTGTGACAAAGTGGATTGAATTTTGTGTGTAGGAAATTTTGGTAAGTAAGGTGGAGCCGGGTTTCAGGGAGAGGGTTTGTGGGGAGTCTGGTTGAACATTACCTTCCCCTTCTGGCATTTTTCAGTGATTGATTCAGTTCAACTGAAACACCTTGTTTTGATCTATTGCTTTTCTTTTTTTTTTTTTTTTTTAGGTTTTTAAGACATCAAAGTTTTTTACTATGTTGTATATCTTATTGCATCTTAAATGTCAAGCTTATCCCAAGATGATGTGAATACTTGGTACATGCTGCCTGTCATAGTTGGTCATCAGGAACTAAGCCACTGTTGCTGAAACAGCTGATTTGGGTTGACAAGTATTAATACAGAGACTCTTAAAGGGGGTCTATAGGGATCTATACATAAACCACTGTCTCTAAATATAAGAAAAGAGTGATCTTTTCAGGCTTTATTTCCAAAAACAAAGAACACCTCAAAAACTTACCTTACATTTGGGTCAATAGGATTGTTATATTTTGAAAAGCACAAAGCAAAGAATAGGTGATCTATGTGACAGCATTACAGATTCATCAAGGGAATAATATTTTGTTTTCTTTCTCTTAGTTGCTAAATGATATGAGGCACATGAAATCTCTCTTAAAATGAAAGATGAACTGTGGAATTTCTGTCTAATTACATTTTTAGTGAGATGTGGCCTCTCTCCTCAGAAAACAATACATATTTTTTAATGTGTTTTTAGCTTGCATCCACAATGTTGGTATTCTCAAAACATCTGTTTGTTTCTCAACAGATATAAAAAATACATAAAAAATAAAAATGAGTGAACCGGACCATGGAACATTCTTTACAACTCATAGGATTAATGATGTAGGTATGTATGCTATCATGTTCAAATTTAATTGTTTTTTCACAATCTACAGTAAAACTGCTTATGAACTACTCTGTGCAATTAATAGCTGCATATGGAAGCTGCTACAGCATTCCGATCATAGAATCGGAATGGTTTGGGTTGGAAGGCACCTTCAAAGACCATCTAGTTCCAAGCCCCCTGCCATGGGCAGGGACACCTTTCACTAGGTCAGGTTGCTCAAAGCTCCATCCAACCTGGCCTTGAACACTTCCAGGGATGGGGCATCCACCACCTCTCTGGGCAACCTGTTCCAGTGTCTCACCACCAGTGAAGAATTTCTTCCTTATATCCAATCTAAATCTGCCCTCTTTCAGTTTAAAACCATTTCCCCTTGTCCTGTCACTACAGGCCCTGGTAAAAAGTCTTCCTGTGTTTTTCTTATAAGCCCCCTTTATATATTGAAAGGCTGCAATAAGGTCTCCCTGGAGCCTTCTCTTCTCCAGGCTGAACAAGCCCAATTCTCTCAGCCTTTCTTCACAGGAGAGGTATATTCCAGCCCTCTGACCATTTCCATGGCCTCCTCTGGACCTGCTCTAACAGGTCCGTGTCTGTCTTGTACTGGGGACCCCAGAGCTAGACGCAGTACTCCAGGTGGGGTCTGACAAGAGCAGAGTAGAGAGGGAGAATCACTTCCCTCGACCTGCTGGCCACACTTCTTTTCATGCAGCCCAGGATACGACTGGCTTTCTGGGCTGCAAGCACAGGTTGCCCACTCATGTCCAATTTTTCATCCACCAGGATTCCCAAGTTGTCCTCTGCAGGGCTGTCCTCAATCCATTCAACACCCAGTCTGTACTGATATTGGGGACTGCCCTGGTGGTTGACATGAAAAAATTTTTCCACAATGAGGCATCATCTGGAGTCATGTTGTCAAACTTTCCGTAGGCATGTGACAAATGAAAATCCTTAGGGGAGACTTGAAGGAGGATCAAGAGATAGCTTTGCAGGATTTACCTTAACATTTTATATGGGACCCTTCTCAAAACCGTATGTCAGACATAATTGCTTCCAGCCACTATGTTTTTAATAGTGAATGGAAAAAAATCTTTCTACTAATACCTAATGGCAAGTTTCACTACTAAAGGAACCTAAAAAAGAGATTGGAAAGAAAAGGCCCGTTCCTTATCCCTATAAGCTTCCTATCTTATGTAAAGTAACTGAGGATCTGTGCGCTAAAGCTTTACGGTACTGGGGTAAAAGTTCAAGTATTTTCATTTACCATAATAATTGTATCTCAGGCTTTAGCCAGTATTTGTTACAGAAAATTGTGAAAAGGCATTTTAAAATCTAAAAGTTTAATATTTTATATTTTTATTCATGTGTGTTTATATGTGTATATATTTGTGGGTGTATACATACATACAACCATATATAAAATTTATTTTCTTTGTAAAATATGATACATATCCAATACGTTACCTATTAAATACAAAGTTTGCAACCTATATGCCAAGACCCTGATTTTGGAATTAATCTCACATGGATAGACCCTATTGACTTCAGAAAATTCCTCAGAGTAAAGTCCTCAGTAGAAGAAGAAACAGATAAAGATTAGTAGCAGAGATTCATAAGGTTAAGATATACAGGATAAAGGAAAAAGCATATTGAAAGCAAAGATAAAATTAAATTATTCAGGATTAGAGGTTTGGAAACTGAACCTGTCTTTCACTCCTCATTCTTTTCTTAGATGTGAGGGACATTATTAAGTTGGTGAAGATGAGTTACCTGAGGAAGTACCTCAGGTACCTACTTTCTCTTACATTAGTTCTATGTGTAGCTATGTATATTTATTTGTTTTATATAAAACTTTTTTAAGAGTGTAGAAAATAACAGATTATGTTGCTAAATTAAACTTGGGACTTTCAGAGACAACTCTAAGGCTTCCAAACATTGCCACAAGTTTTTTTTTTTTTGTTTAGAAACCCAACATAGTAACAACTTTTTTTTAATCTAGGTACCACCAAGTTTAACCTTTTTAAGTAAATGGATTCTCTCTGCTTATTCACTGTTCTCTGATACATTTTTCTGTGGTTAGAACAGATTAAGACAACCCAGCCAAAGAAAAACAGTGCTTCTCCTTGTTGTATTATAGCATTCCTTGTTCTCTCCATCTATTCATTCAGTGGGATGGTTCGTTCTCCCTTCCTAGTTGTTTTCTGCACTGTATTTGTTATTGCTTCCTGTACATCAGTACACACTTTTACATTTTTAATCCTGTTTTTTCCATGCTTTTTGTTGTCAACCCTCTTCTCTCATTTTATATTGTGAGAAAGAAAAGGTGCAAAAAAGATTACATGGATTTGTTTTTTTGATCACGTGTCTTATCCTTACTACACTGTATTGAGGAATAAAGCTGACATAGAGAAAGCAGGGTTTCAAAAGCCAGTGATGAGTGAGAGCTGTCAAACAGGGACAGCAAACTGTAATTTCATTGAGTAGTTAAGGAGATGACAATGCTGATATAGACCAAAGAAAACTGGTCAGGATATTGCAATTTTGAGTGCCATACCCAGATAGGGTTCCTACCCCTGGATATCTATACCACAATTCAGAACAAGTGGTGTGAGATCCGTGCTAGTGAAATGATTTAAGAATAACTTCCGATTCCTGATCGGAAAGAGGAGTGGCAAGGCTAACAGCTGACTGAAGCATGAGGACTTTGTCAGTGCATGCACTGACATGCGTGTATGGTGCATGTAGAACGTTTCCAAAACCACTGACATTAGGTACTTAGAGGTCTCTGCAACAGGTGCTGCAGGGAGAGATTTAGATCTTTATCTCTTCAGGAAGATGACGGTGTCCCACCTTTGTTCTGACACTTACCTAGTATGCTATCCTGGAATTAATTGAGGATCTCTGATGCTGGAAGAGACTACCATACTTTTCAAAGGTCATGAGATTCACAAGCACCATACCAAGGAGTTGCACTTAATGACTTCTAGCAGTAGTTAATGTCATTTAGTAGTACTAGTCAGAGTTACTGATTCGTTTCTAAAGAATATGACAGGATGCATCTGCTAACTTATCTCCCAGGTGCTCCCAGGCATTTGCCTGCAGGGAGCCTGATTTAGAAATGTTACGGAATTGCTCTGAAGCTCCTGCCATGCCCTGCTGATCATGTGTGTGGACACTGATGTTACTGCCTGAAATGACTCCTAGCAGACTAGAAGTGATTGTAAGCCTTTGGGAGCAGTGATGAAGGAGTAATAGGCTTAGGAGGAAGAACTGAATGAGTGGCTTTTCAGAGGGTTTGGCGACTGAACTTTTGCTTTTTTGAACATGTAATGATGTGACAGAATCTCTGCTGGACAGTGCTGTAAGCAATCTCAGAAAGAAGGAAAAAAAATCTTCACATAAAATCTTCCTAACTTAGGGATGAGAACTTTAAATTTGGATTGATCATAAAAGCCCACAGATGAACAAAGCTACCTAAAGGCCTAAAAAATGGGAGAAAGGAGATTATTCATACTAAGCTCATAGGAGGGCTAAAATGGAAGAAATTAGTGGATCAAACTACTGAACATTTTTTGTGTAAGGTATATAGAGAATAAAAAAGTAGTCATAATAAAAGATCAAAGCTATAACCTGGTTGGCATAACACTGATTTGGTAGAATCCTTCGCATGTTGAGAAGATTAGTGGAGAGGAAAGCAGGATTGACAAGCAGGAGGAAAGGAGAAAGCCTTCCTCTATGTAGGTTGTGTACCCTCTCAAGTTCAGAGAGTGGAAACAGCAAAGGGATTGCCTGTGGAAACTGTAGATGATGATCAGAGGGGAAGAAAGATGCAGTTCTGTTTTTATGGGAGTCTGGCGCAGACCAATAGACCAGGAAAATCTGTCGATTAATATCAGGCAGCTGTGTATCTGAGGTTACCTTGAGCATGCTTCTCTTTTTCTGTTCACAAATCTTGTTCAGACAGGATTTGCAGCCTTGGTTTTCTGGATTAGTTCTGATATGGCTGCTGGTCTTCTCAGTCCTTGCCTCACCCAGTTTTAAGTGTATACATAATATGCTTTGGATTAAAGTGACCATGAAATGGTGGAAGTTGTCATTCTTAAGAAGTTGGTGAGGGGGAAGAGAAATAAAGGTAGTGTATTTTAGGAACATGAACATAAGCTCAAAGTAGGACTCCGTGGTAAACTTGAGGTAACTGTTGTTTGGCGAATATGGCAATCCGTCAATGAAACTGCTTAAAGGGATCATTGTAAGTTATCTTCACTGTGTGGTGAAAGACCAGCTTAGTTAAATCTTTATTGACTTCAAATGCTTTTTCAGCAAAACTATTTCCTCTGGGTTTTGTTAGACAACAGTCTTCCAATACTGTCACAGTCTTTCAAATACTGATGATAGGACTGAAGAAAGTGGACATTATAATCCATCCTGCATGCAGCAGAAACCAAGTACGATGTTTTCCTTGCAATTTAGTGCCTTTCTCTTTATTAAGGAAGTACGTTGTTTTTCCCAGGGGCCTAGAGAATTTTAATAGAGAAATTATGCTGTTCTTATGGCTGGAGATTCAATGGGAAATGTAATTGCAACTCATTCTGTTTACATATAATCAGTAGTTTGTATACCTTCTAGAAAAAAATTACTCCTATTGCTCAATCCATAGATTACAATAAATATTGAGGTAGTTTTCCAATTTGTGAAATAAGAATGCATATATTGAAACTTACGTATTTCTGTATTAGAACTTCCTAAAATTCCAGTAAACCCAGTTTAAAGTGAATTATTCTTGAAGTTCACATATAAAAAAAAATCTTTTAAAATAAACTCTTTGTAAACAGACAAATGGTTAATGTTTCTTATATAATTTCTACTAGCTTATGTTTGTTTCAAATTCTTATTCACCAACTAACAATCTCTTTGTTATGGAAACTTTTAATGTTTAAAATACACTGTTTCTAATTTCGATCTATAATGCTTTCATTTTATGACTCACGCTTAAAATATTTCTCCAGAATTTGAAATGACTGTGTTTCATGTAATAACTAGAAAATCTGGTTGTTCCTATGAGAAATGGTCTTTGCAGCCAGAAGTATAAACCTGTTGGTTACAAACATCTGTATGAACTTGCTGCAGTAGAAAAAATGGCATCTGCAAAAATTCAATTAAAGGTATGATTTTTATATTATTTGTAATGTGAATGATTTTAAAATTCAGCGATCATATTTCTTTTCACTGCCCCAAGGAATCTGAGAATGAATAGGGATAACAGATTGCTGTAACAGTATTCAGTAACAGTATTCAGCAAAAGGGGGCAAAAGATGAGAGTTTATCACAGCGTTATTGTGAGTTGGACACGTTAATGTCAAAGTGTGGAATTTCTTTGAATCAGAGATGCAAAATATGTATGGATTCTAAGCCTCCCAAAAAGACAGGAAAAGTTTGTATTTGAGTGCTTTGAGGAAATTCATCCAGACTCATTATATAAACTACTCAAAATACTGGGGGTAATGAAGAACTTACAGGAATAAATGGGAAGGGGAGGTTGATCCAGAAAGAAAGAAAACAAAACAAAAAGATATGAAGTGAGGATTTCCAAAAGTCAAGCTGAGGTAGATATTGAAAAGAAAATTAAAAGGGTTTTATATCCATAAAATGTAAATGTAGAGCTAGACAGTTAGAAAGGTATAAATAGCTGCAGAATGGCCCAAATGGTAAATAAGAAGGTAGTCTATTTAATACTAGTAAAGTTTAATGAAAACTTTACCTCTGCTTTTATTAAGAATGGTGATTTATAATGTGTGGACAAAGCAGGGTCACTAGCAGAACTGAAGAAGAAGCAAAAGTCGGGGCTGTCAAACTGGAAAGAAGACTAAGTACCAGATTTTCTCCATCCACTAATGCAATTTCACGTACTCTTTTTTTTCTGTAAGTCTGATCTTAGAGACATTTAATAAATCCATGCAACAGTAGACAGTACCATGTAAGTTGAAAATAGCAAAGCAATTTTGTATATTAAGAAAGGAGATACAATTTTGGAAGCATTTTTGGCAATGATACACCCAAAGTCTTCAATGATGTGCAAGGTAATTAGAGTACAAGGTGAAGAGAAGAATTTGTAAACCCAAGAAAGAACATGGGAAGTGGGGACCGGTCTCTAAATATGGGGGAGGACAGGGTGAACACTGGTAGCTCTCCAGCCAGCCTCATTTCATCCTTTACATTAGGTATATACCGAACTTTATGAGAGAGTTTTACCGTTGTAGAAGGACCAAATATTAGAGAAAATGTAAAGGGAGAACTGGAAAGATTAAGGTATAGCTCAGACATAGCTTACTCTACAATACTGCATACCTTCATCATTATAGTACACCCCCCCACCATCCCCCTGGAATAATAAAGGAAAAAGCCCCCATAAGAAAACCCAAAGGAGTTAAAATTTTCAAGTATTTTGAGTAACGGTATTGATTATACTTACTGATGTTAATACAAGTCTATGTAACAGGTAAATGAAATTTGACAACTTGATACTAGAACTAACTGCAGATAAACCACTCATGTATGAATCTGTTCCAATTTGCTTAGCTTTAGACTACCTTTAGGCAAGCAAATGCAAGGATGCAGATTGGCTTTTGTTCTTTTCTTCTGCCAGAAACCTAAGCAGGACTGCGGAGCATCATCGTATTCTCTTTCTTATTCCTGTCCTTCAGAAATTTCCCCATCTTTATTTTAACATAATACTAAAATCAATAATGTATATCACTGCTTTGAAAAGAGACTTAGTAAAAATGAAATTCTATTCTTACAAAGCTTTATTGGTTTTACACTTGCAGGAATGAAAATATACTTTTTCCACAATACCAAGGAAGATTTTACTTTAAACACACAGGATGCTAACCTGACGATCAAGATGTCTCTTCTTTGGGTCACATTCCAAAGCAGAACTGTTGTATGAGATCTACTTAATGTCATGTCAACTCTCAGGTGCCTTGTTTATCTGGAACGCAGTTTACCTTTGCCATTGATGTAGCCAGCAGATTTGGATTTAGCCTGGTTTACTAGCTTAGGATCAGTGCTGCACAAACACAGCTCTTCTGCCTCCAGAGGTACATCTCTTTGAGAAACAGTTTAGCTTTCACATGACATGGCAACTAAACTCTTAGGTCCTGTTGGACCTCAGTGTGGAGGCGTTCATGTGCCTTTGTGGCATGCTTCTGGACCTTTTTTCAGCACTTCTGGACCTGGGCTGGCTGCTGATACTTGGTTGCATTGCAGGTTCCAGTAAGATTGACCAGCTGCTGTGTGACACCATGCAATTAGCAATCAGACTAGGTAGTGTGAGTTCTGAGATCTACAGTATTGGGCAAATCATAGAGTGGCTAGAACCAGTCTGGTTGAATTGAGGTAGCTTTTAAAAGATGATGTGCTTGACTGTCTTTGTATCTTGCTTCCCAGTGTGTCCTCTATGAATATGTATCACCTGGCTTGTCAGTCTTGGTTACATACAACATTGGAGAGCTGATGAATTTTTTTTTTTTAATTTTGTGCCATTCTGAGGGGGTGGTTTTGATTGCTTCCGACATTACCTACAAACCAACAGGGAAAACATGGAATATTTTTGTGAACAAGCTCCTTAAACAGCAAACCCAAATGTATGAGAAGACTGCAGCTCATCTTAGCTCTCATCCAGCTGTACACTAAATAGTTTGTTCCTGATTTTGTAGTGGGCAGAAAATAACATATTTTGATCTCAACACGTTTGACTTGAGAAAAGAAATTCTTTGAAACCTATTGATGAGTTTAGGTCTTTTCCATACAGCTTATCATCATGCTGTGGCTGTTAAGCCACAACAGAATTTGTAGTGTTGTACTTCTTGTTTTTAATGGGACAGACAAGATGTGGATGTTCTTTTACACTGGATTGTGCAGAAGTACTTGTATATTGCAACGAGTTGGGGCAGGGTTGGAGGGTGAAGGTGGTTACGAATAAGCAGGTTTTGGTTTTAGCTGTGGATGTCCAGAAACATTCTTTGGATTTCTGTTTTTAAGAGCTTCTCTTTACAAAATTGTGCTTTCTTTGAAGGAGAGTCTGTGTCAAACTGCCAGAAATGCAGATGTCCAAGAAGACTCCAACCTCTCTGGAGCACGTGTTGCTGGCTCTGCATGTTTTCCTTTTCAAGTTGTGGATATAGTGTAAAACGTTGATCCAGAAACACTGTAGAGTGATAACTCCTTGTGAGAGTGAAACTGCTTTCAGCGTATAACTGTTTCACTGATGAGTGTTACATGATTTAAAAAAAAAAAAAAATCAAATTCACAGAAAGAAGTAATTTCTGAAGAAATTGACACTGATACACATTCAGCTGAAATAGTTCCTTTAGGCTGAGAAACAAAGTAGAAGAGGAAAAAAATTATCAATTTGAAACAGACGCCTTCAGCAGTAATGTTACTTGAATGCTTTTTCAGAAAACTGCAAATCCAGCATAAGGATAATAGTTTTGTATGATTAATCTGTGCTAACATGGCAATTTATTGTCTCTCCAGTCCTTGGCCATTCCTCTGAACAGTTGCAATTTTGTGGATGGCCTTTGGAATGAAAGGCTATGCTGAAGAGTATAGAAACTATGCAAAACGCAGTGACTAAAGTTTTCTTGTATAGATGACTAAGGGACCTGATCATCTGATGTCTTTGGCATGTATATAATACAATTCAGAGTCTTCATTCAGACAGGATTGCCGAGGTCAAAGGGAAATTTGCTGAAGAAATATGGGATTATGATAAAGTTCTTTAAAAAAAAAAATCCTTTATATTCATGTCTAAAATCATATTTAGGAGTTATTTGGACAGAAGTTATTAAATGAAATATGGTTATGTTGCTAACCAATATATACTTTTTTGTTCTGATGCTGTTTCTTAAATCTTAGTAAATTGAATATATACAGTACCAACAAGCATAATTTACTAGTTCACACTACTATCCTGAAGGCCTTGCAACAAAAAAGGGGGTTGCTCGTGCTCCCCTCTTTGTGTTTAAAATAGAAAAGGGTGACAGTGAATGAGAGAAAAATATATACATTCTTTATAGTATTGCTTCCTTTAATGCATGTAAGTATAATGTGTCAAAAGCTCTGGCAGATATTCGTGGATCGGCAGTACAAAATTCTACTGAATTCATTCAAGCTTTAAACTAATTTTTCATCATCTCTTTTGGTATTTCACCTTTTCAAGTGTTTTCCAACTGAGTAGGTAGTAAAATATATATGCTGAAAGCTCCACAGAGAATAGAATGTGTTCCCACCTACGACTTTTTTGTTGCTGATTCAGGGTATCCAAATCTTGGAAGTGCTGGGTTACTCCTCCATTGAGGTAGAACCAAAGAAGCAAATGGTAAATCATTTGTTGACCATTTAAGAAAGAAAAATACAGCACATACAGAAAATGTTGCTAATATTGCAGCAGTTATACATAAATGTCATTGCTGTTGCTATAAAATAATTTCAAGAGCATATTAAGCTTTACATACAGATCTACTTCAACTTTTGTTTCGCTTTAGTTTTAGAATTGATTTGAAGATGTATGTATTTTCAAATTACTTTATAGTATTCTGTTTGCTGAAGTCTGGTTTTAAGCACCTAATGGTAACAAGAGGAAGCTATAAGTAACTTTTAAACATGAAAATATGTAAGCAATAAAAATAAGGAGACATTATCTTTGACTCAAAAGCATTGTAACATACTGATTGAAAGCATAAAACAGGTGTTTTCAAACTCTCTTATAGTACAGTCACATATGCAGCTTCCTAGAAACACCTTGTTCTCATCCACAGTCAGATAATCTCTCCATAGCACCTATTGCAGCTTTTTACCCGAATAATACCACTAGAGCATGTTTGCTGCAAAAGCACAATGGATTAACCACATTCTAGTAGTGGTTCTTCCTTATGTGACTATCTAGAAACCTGGTATACTCAACCAGATATATTAAACACAGATTCATGTGAGAGGTGTAAATGTTACTAGCTTCAAAATTTTAGGTATTTTGTTTTAAAGTAAGGTTTTAGCTTTGTTGGTGGGTGAATTAGAGGCTCTGATTCGAGAAGTGATGGGATTCTTGCTTACCTGTGCATGAGTGCTGCAAAGAAAGGTTCTACAACTTTCCTCTTTGAGAAGCCTGCTGGTATCACCTGCCTGGTGGAGGGGACGGAGAACACGCCTGTAGGGGGTTTTGCTCTTTGTATTCTTATGCATGTGAATGCAGAGGGGGTAATGTGTGGTTTTGTCCAGCTTTCACCAGGCAGGAAAGTTGACTAAGCATTTTAAACAGAGGAGATTACTTCCACCTGAGCCAAGTGGAAAACCAGCATTTTTGACTCAGAACATCATTTCTTTCCTGAACTAGATGTGGAGTGAGATCTTTATTCATTTCTCCCTGTTATGAACTAGGACAAGAGTTTCCAAATTTTTTTTCTTGTCTTACTACCATTCTGCATCAGAATAATGTATCTGCATGAAGGAAGGTCTGGGGAGGGAAAAAAAAGGTGGGTGTGTGTGAATTGTGGGAGCCTCTGGAATCAGAAGGGGTTTTGCAACTAGAAGTTGGCTGGGGCAGGGATGAAGTCAGGTGTTATGGAGGAAGGCGGTGGCAAAAAGAGAAGGAGCAGGAAAGGAGCCAATTCTGAACTGAAATGCTGCTTCGTCCTGAGTATCCACTGAATGGCCAGAAGACAGTCATGGTGGCAGGAGGATGAGAGAAAACTGACTTGTCTCAGGGGCTTCTGGCAGCCACAGACTTCTTCTGATCCTTTTTCCTTCACTGTTGGTTGGTCAGAGTCATCTGGCTACCACTTCAACAGCCTTCCCCTGACAGCTTTTCCTCTAGTTTAAGCAGTAACTCTAGCTATCTCAAAAGCATGTATTTCTATTTTATTTTAAGTTGGAAGCAATATTTTTGTGAAGCCCTCAGACAGTTTCAGAGCCTCTTTAATTGGACAGATTTTGAAAAAGCACTCTTTTTTAGTAATCAATTTTTGAAATTCTTTTTCTTGAAAGACACACTTTCACTCTTTCTTCTTCCCACCTATAAGAATGTGTATTTTTCTTTCTCCTGCTCATCTTCCCCCCATTCGCCTCCTGGGAAATAGGGATGGGAAAGAAAAGGAGAAAAAGGTAAAGAAGAAAATGGACTGCTTTTTTTTTTTTTTTTTCACTTTCTCCTCTCATTTAATTGTGATTTGAAATGGAATAAATTTTTTTCATGAAAACTGGTTACACTTGAACCTGTTGTTCTTTAGAAAAACACAGTTTTGAAAAAAGCTTTTAGGTTCACCATTCTGTAGTTAAAAGTTTCCATATGAAGGCATTTGATAAAGCTATTGAACAGATTCAAAATACTTACAAGCTTTAATTTTTCCTGCAGATTAAAAAAATAGAGCAAGTTTCAAAAATTAACAAAGAGCAAATGCTGCTGAAACAGCATCGGCAAGTGTGGTGGCAAGAGCATGAAAGACTGAGTGAGAACAGGTAAGAGCTGAGGAATCTTAATTAGCCATTGTTAAAGAAATATTTCAGTAGACAGAGATTCTGGTGTGGCGTACTTGATTCAAAGGACATTAAGAGGAAAAGATTAAAATACCTGGACTGAAGATAATTTTTTGTGCAGGGCATGAAAGTTTGTGATCTACATTGAAAGGGGTCTGTAGACATGAAGAGAACACATAAAGGGAGGGGAGAATAGAGTGGATGTTGTTCTGCATGTACCTCTCAATGATGATCTCATAGCTGTTTAGTTTGACCTATCAACATGTATTGAAGAGCATGCTGAAGAGTATGTATTTCATAGAATAATTTGGGTTGGAAGGGACCTCTAAAGGTCATCTAGTCCAACCCCCCTGCCCTGGGCAGGGACATCTTCAACTAGATCAGGTTGCTCAGAGCCCCGTCCAACCTGACCTGGAATGTTTCCAGGGCTGGGGCATCCACCATCTCTCTGGGCAACCTGGGCCAGTGTTTCACCACCCTCAGTGTAAAAAATTTCTTCCTTATATCTAGTCTAAATCTACTCCCCTTTAGTTTAAAGCCATTTGTTGGAGTATCAGAAGTTTTCAGATACTTTTTAATTCCTTCAGAGTTTGTCTCTAGATGTGCATATTGAGTTCACACTTATAACGGGGAACATTAATATTGTTCTTGTCTATTAGCTTGCATATTGTATATACAGCAGATCAATGAGAGCACTTTTTGCTCAGAGGAGGGTGGCTTCTATACCACCTTCATGTCCAAGTTCTGCACTTCATACCTTCCCAGGCAAAGAATCCCCCTTTTTTACTTAATTGTTGGAGTATTTAAGGCTTATCATTCTTAACCTTAATGAATAAGAAATTAAAGTTTCTGTAAAACTCATATTCATACCTTCCAGGCAAAAAAGCAGAAGCAGAAATAAAGACTTTCCTTAATGAAGAAAGCCATAAGCACAACTTTTTTTTTGGATATGAGGGGCTTGGGTAAGAATTTTTTATTCATTTCTTGATTATCTATTATAGTCAAAATTATCTTGATTATTTGTTTGAGTTTTTAAATCCCTGTCTTGACAGGTTTAGATTTAGAAAGCATAGTGCTGTGTAATATTTTGTGTGTTTGAGAAAGCTTTATGATTCATTTGGATATAGAGCATAAATTATCAAAGGAGCGGAATACATACCAAACAAATACTGTAGTTCCTATCTAGCAACTAAAAGAAAATTTGAAATTCAGGCTATCTGAAATGCAGTGTTACCTCTCAGAAGACTCTTGTCTGAAATCTAAGTTCAGTCCAGCTGAGATGTTACAGCAGGTTGGTATTCTAACTTAATTTTTACAATTTATTATCACCGTATTTTTAGCATTTTCATTTTTTTAATGTAATACTTCGAGAATATAACTCGCATTCAGAGTATCCAGTAATCTCTGTACTTGCCGTAGTGTAAAACTGCTTCACTAAAATCTGTAAAAGCCTAGCAGTGTAGAACTGGAAATCAGGCTCTTTGTTTCTAGATAAAAGCTTTCTTGTTATAACAAGATAAAGAAGTAACAGTAACATATTTCATGAAATAGATCAAATTTATGAAGAAGCAACAGAAGGCAATTTTGGAATTCCTTATCCTTGAAAGTCTAGCTTTGGAAAGAGAGCTTGAAGACTATAAAACAAAAGTAAGCTTTTCCTTGTAAATTTAATTAGTGATTTTTTGAGAGAGAAAATATAATGCAGAATAGTCTGCTGAGTAGCATTTTTTCATCACAGGCATTAGCACATTCTTTTGAAGAGGAAAATGGACTTTTCCTTGAAGTTCCTTCAGCACTACTGTCTTTGGAATGCCCCTACCCTGATTTGAAGACCTTAGTTACCAATGAATACTGAAAGCTTGCAAGTGGGTACTGGTCTAAGCTTCAAGAGATTAATCAACAGTTAAAAGCTTTATATAGGTAATGACAGCTGTTTCTGGATTTCTTTTGCTGGGTATAAAATAAATATAATATATTTTGTAATCTATAGATCCTGCAGTTGCCTTTACCATTAGAGTTGGTTCTATTTTACGCAGAGCATGGAACAGTTGATGCACTGCCCAGCTCTCTGGGGTTAAATAGTCAGTAACTGTTTGCACAGCTGAGAGAATTGAGGCAGTCCTTTCAAAAGCTCTCATCTGAAATAATAAGCAAAATGTTTTGTGGATTAAAGAACCAACAATCTGGTGTGCATCAAATGTCTTCACATGCTTTTGTATGAATAGAAATTATTCTTTCTGTATGGTAATTACACTATCAAATTTATGCCAGAAAAGTACAGTCTTTCTGAGAGAGATCTAGAATGTGTTTATCTGTAAAGCAGATAAATAGGTCCAATCTTTTCACAAATTTTGGATCACAAATTCCCATCACAAAGAAATGTAAAAAAAAAAGTATGTAGCTCTGATTCAGAATAACTGAAAGGAGGAGAGATTTTTCTGTAAACAAAGTTTATAGAAAGAACATAAATATTCACAACGATCTAGAAATGTAATGTACCTATATATTAATAGTATAAAGCTTAGCTTTTCTGCTGAGGCTAACTTGAGTCCAGGAGATACGGAGTTGCAGATACTGGACCAGCCTTGACTTCTTTTTGCCATCTACTGATATTCCTCTGGCTTAGAATGGCATCAGATTTCAAGAAGACTGGGAATAGGAAGGTCCGTGGAATTGTTTGAAACCTGGGCAGAAGAAACTGGGGAGATCAGGAAAGTCCCTAAGTTTCTTTGGTAAAACAATCACACGTTGCTTCTAAATCTCCTTCTTTTTCTATATACACCTACAGTGCAGCACTTAAATCTTCTGCCGCTGCTGCTGAATTAGTTTGGGGGTGCTGAAACAGGTTTAAGATGTTGGATCCCATAGAAAGTGATGTTATAGTCTACTTATCTTTTGTATAATTTGTACAGATATTCTGTAGGTTCTTCTTCTGTTACCTGAAACCTGTATATCATTACTGTAATGTCCTAGCTATTATAATATGATACTTATTAAAAATTGTTCTGATCTTTCCTATATTTATACCATTTATTAAGCAGCAAGTGGCAAATTTACAGCAGTTCCTTTGCTACAGTTGCTGTTATGGAAGAAGTTTTAACAATCTCTATGAGAAAATCTGTGACAAATACTAAATCATTAAATATGTACAAAGTCTTTCTAGTGGTTTTAATTAAAATTGTGTTAAAGTTTATGATCAACACAATTTTGGTGAAAATTCATAGATTTAAATCCCTTGATCCACACAGCATGTGTGCTACTGAATAATAGACAAACATCAATGTAGACAACAGAATCTATGAAAATGGTTGAAAAATCTACCATGGTATTTTCATTGATCACATGTCAGGTTTGAATTTAGGTCTTGAGCTAGCTAATTTTGCACTGATAATCAAGTAACATCAAGACCATCTTGGTCTTTTTTTTGTTTGCCTTCTGGTCTCCAAATCTTTAATGTATTGCTCATTTACGTTTCTATGATTTTATCCACAACAATGTTAAAAATGTGTTTTCAATAAAAAAAGCAAGACTTTGTTCTTGTAGAACTGCTTACTTCCAAGATCCGGGTTTTATAAAAGACACAACATTATTTGTCGCTTCTTGCATTTATATTGGCTAATTTGCATGAAAACATTTTACAAGTTGCAAAGATACAGCCTTGTGATTTAAGTATTCTATAATTCATCAAGCTAACTTTGATCCAACTAACACAGATAATACTGTCAAAAATTGAGTGACAGATTTTTGACCTTGATATGTATCCATGTAGTCTACTGATTAATATAGCCTTAATGAAGCCTTTGCAATTAACTGTCATTGCTCTATACTCAGAGACCAAGCATTCCCCTGCAATACATTTTTTTCTCATTTTTGTAATTTGAGAAGTTACTCAGTAGAACAATGTGACTATATGAGAACATGATAACTTAGTTCATCTGAGGATTACTTCTCTGTCATTCTTCCTTTCCCATCATATGCTTGAATGTACAGTAAAGAAACCTTAAGTTAATACTAGTCTTCCGGCATTACACGTCTCGTTGTTTAACTGTTCAGACTGTCTGGAACAGAAAATTTGGAAAATGTGTGTAGAATTTCCAAAGAAGAAAAATCAGAATAAGATAATATTCTGGTCTGCTATATTCTTTTTGTGCTTTTCAGTCCTACTAGAATGCACATTACAGTGTTTATTGCTTTTAGAAACTGAAGAAGAATTTGGTTTTTTCAAGCATAATATAGGATTATAATGTTTTATAATCTAAAGTCACTAGTTTTACTGCTGCTAAAACACAATTTTTTGTGTTTGGGAAATACCCAGGTCCTGAGTTATCCTATAAATTGTGGACTTGGAACTGATGTGTTTGTTACAGCTGATGATTCTCTAAGCACTATTATATTTTTGCCACAATTTCCAAGGATGTCTGAATTATTTAAATAACTGAAGGATGAATGGAGTATTGCATATGCAGCACTGTATCCTCTGCAGCATCCTTTCAAATGAATGGGATATTAGGATTAAGTCAAGTAAATTTAGTTCCTCTTTTCAGGCCTGTTACCAGGATGTTTCTGGTACAACAATCGGCAATGACAGAATTAATAGTCAGGGAGGTTAACATCTCACTTGGTGGTATTGTTGCAGTCTCTGTGTCTGCAGATTCAACAAGACAGCAGTGCATCAAGTATACATTGCTATTGCAAAGGACATGTGAGGATTATAGGGTGGAGAGGGTAGCTTTCCTTCTGAATTGTTTATATTCTTCAGAATGTGTAAAGCCAGGGATTAATGCTGGGTAAATCTGTTTCAAAGGAGGCAGCTGCCTCAGGGTTGTCGAATATAAGACAATTGCTGTGTTTCAGTTCTGAAACAAAATGTACTGATTTCTAGTAGAATGATACCTACAAGAAAAGCAAGAACTACATTTAAAATTTGGGTCAAGCATTCAGCCTTGTAAAAGTGTGTCAATATCTTGACACTGAAGAAGCCTGATATTAGCTTAAATATTAATATAAAATGTGTTGGCACTTTTCAAACTCATTTTAGATGAGGTCTTCCTTTCTGGAATTTTACAAAAGTTTAAGTGAGGTGACATCTTGAATTCAATCAGGCAGGATATTTTTAAATTCTCCATGCATTTAATGGTTACAAATACACTGGGCTGGATCATGCTGCTTTTTTTTTTTTTTTTGGCTATTTGTCTATGAACAGCTGACAAAATCTCAGCACAGCTGACAAATTTTGGCACAGCTGACAAACCAAAGCATTGGCAGACAGTTTGTCCCTGCTTGCAATAAACTACTTGTAGCTCTAGCTATAGCTGATTGCTCCCCAGAGTACCTTCCACAAACCTTAATCTCTCCATCTTGTTCCTGAGTAGTGCAGATTCATTGTTAGCTGGCCATTAGAGGAGTATACAAGTCGGAGGGATATGTGAGATACAGGAGGCAGAAATTGATGCAGCAGCTGGTGCATCTGCCCTTGTGTGCTGAAGGCAGAGGAGATCACCAGACTGGCCTTCAGACCACAGAATCTGTGGTTTTCCCTGCTCTCAAGTTCATGGTGTAATGTTCCCTGACCAAGATGTATCTTACTCTGCCTTACTCTTCTTATAGACAGAAGACCTGTATTTGTTCACAAACCTGTATGGTCAGAAATATCTGAGGTAGATTGTTACAAAAGAGAATCTCAGCTCTTAGAACTGTCTCATTACTGTTACTAAAATAATGTGTTCCAAATGGTACCATACCAAGGTGTATCAGGACTCACAGAAGAGGATTACTGATTTCTTTCAGAAATTACACATGATAATTCAAAATCCAACCCATAAACTAGTAAAAACTCTCTTAGTGTGGCTGGTACTCCCTCTGAGTAAAGGCTAGCAGGGTTTTATGGTGGTTCTTCTAATAAGCAAATAAAATATTGGGGCTGGAAAGACAAGAATGCTAGTTGTTATCTTAAGGAAAAAAAATATTTTTGTACTCGCTCAGTTCAGCATCAGTAGGAGCAGTTGCAGTGAAAGAGATTTAAATCATAGCAAAGAATAATTATGACACAGAGATTCTAAAATTAATAAATGAACTGATGTCATAGAAAAGGTCCCTCTAGAGAAAAGGGAGGAGTTTAAAACGTTAATTTCTGAGAATCAGTTGCAAGATGTTTTTCTTAGAGGCAGTAAATGTTGCAGAAATAGCACACCTTTCCAATACCATCTCTGTGTCAAAGCTCAGGGACTCTTGTCTTTGGAGAACTGTGCCTGCTGTTCAAGACCTTCAGCTTGAAGGTTATAAGATATTACTGCAACCGTTCCCTCTCTGAAGGATTCCTTAGCCCCGTTTCACTTTCTGGGGCACTATTTCTTCTTTAGACTTAGCGTATGAAAAAACCTCAGCTCAGATGTCTATATTCATTGTCTGTCATGGGAAATCTAAGCAATCACCTATAAAGAAACACTTTCATTGCTATTCTACTTTTGCTAATGTAATTTCAGTTTTTATGTTGTCTCTAACATTTGCTTGGTAGTTGTCAGTCGCTGCAAATAAACTTTTTACAGGAGCTAGATCATTTCTCTCCCCCATTTCAAAGCCACCTCCATTTCTTTTCACGATGGCTGAATTTAATAGCAAACAGCTGGGTCCTAGAAATAGTTTGTCAGCTATTTCACACAATTCATAAGAAGAGAAAGGAAAATAGGTGGAAAGTGTGAATAATATATATCTAACTCATGTAAGCTTGTAGAGGGAAAGCAGTGTCCTTCCACAACTTCATTAATTTTAGCCTACTAATGAGTCTCCAAGTCAGGATTATTACTATAGTATTCTTAGTCCTAAATCTGTATCTGCACAAGTGGTGGGGAGCTTTTGTGTATGAGCTTGCGCTGCTGTACTGTGATACGTCCCCACACAGCAAGTGTTTGAAGTCTTGTGTAAACAGGGAAGTCAATGGGCTAAAAGATAAGGTATGACTTAGTGATACTTTATATACCCCGCTCACCACCTCTGGGAGCGCTAACTGCGAGTTGGCTGGTTGGTGTTCTTTTCCTGTGAAGTTTAGGTTGCTGTTGAGTTCTGGTTTTTAATGGCTACATTTTGTGAATTATTCTAGAGCCGTCAACAAATGCAGATTGCGGACCTTTCTTTTGCATGGAAAAGCAAAGACTAAAGTGTCAGTGTAAGGTCTTTGTCCTGTGATGTGATACTGCTACCTGTGGACACTTTAGTCTTTCTTAAAGTTAATTTTCTATGTGTCGCTTTCATTTTACTCCATTGGTAAACAGATAAGTTACTCAAAAGCACTACCACAGATGGTCAGGTAAGAGTTAGTGCTTCATATTTTCCCCTAAAAAACTCTTTTGTGACTGAAATCTCTCTGTATACAATACAAACATTATTACTGCAGAGCTCTCCGTTTTGATGTGTTTGTAGCACTAATGGCCACGATAATGTTATTGGAGTTTACTGCAGGAGGTAGGATGTGATTTCTCCTTACCTGGCCATCTTCATTGTGATGCTGTCTGCATAAAAGACAGGAGTAATTTTTAACATTTATTCAAAGAAAAACAAAATACAGAAGCAGTACACTTAAACTGCAAGAAACAAGGTGTTTGTTACTAGGGAATAGTAATTTTAATGTTTTCTCATATTTGGTTATCATCAAGTTGCCACCATTCTGATCCTGGAATAATGACTGTGGGCTGAAAATGTTACGGTAAGATAAGAATCATTTTTGTTTCATGAAAGTCAGAGGATGAAGAATTGAAGTGGGGAGGAAAGAACCTCTGATCACTAGCTGTCTCCGGAAAGACGGGTGAAGGTTATAATCCCTCTTAAGACTATAAGGGTAAAAATAAAGCCCATTAGTCTGCCTGAAGAAAATGATAAAATAAATGCCTTTAGGTAGGTGAAGATACGTGGACCTCTGTCCAAATTTGTGCCAACTTCACAGCAAAGCATGCAACAGCAGAAAGTGCCAGTAGAGAGGAAAAAAGGTGAAATCCATGTCATCAAGAGATTGGGTTCCCTTGCCTGACAGGATATTACTTTGAAAACAGTTTCTTGAAATGGGATATTTGCGTCTTTGCATTCTTGAGATATGTCTGTAGATGAAGCTTTCCGTTTCTTAAAACTAACAGCTCTAGGGATATTTTTCTTGTTTCCTCCTTTGGTGTTCCAGAATATTGTACAATGGTGATAATACACTGTGGTTTTACTATGCAATGTTTTTTAAAGAAAAGTTGTGTTAAACTGGATTACATAGAATTTTTTTAATACTTATGTTCACTGTTCTCTCTTTAGCGATAATGCTAGATCGTATTATAAAATCTAGTTTAATATTAATTACATATGAGCATCTCACAAAAAATCCTATTTTCTAATTACCTGATATTTCTGCCTACGTAAGGATAAAGTTGTTCTAACATCTTACTGAATGCAATGCTATTAAGACACCACTGTTGGCTCAGGAAGTCCAAGAGCTGCAAACAGTTGGAGACTGCAGGAATTTGGTGGGGTGTAGAGTCATATGATTGCCTTCTTTTATTTTTCCCTAGGCTTTTAGTCACTTTGAAAACAGGTCACTGGGATACAGAGACCTTTTGGTCTGACTCGGTGTTGCTGCTCGTACATTAATGCTGACAATAAAAGCCTGACGTTAATCCCTTCAAGGCCAAGAGTTCAGACTTGAGGGTAAAATCTAATCTACTAAATCCAAACCCGTGGTACTCTGTTTTAGTTTTATGTTACTATGGGCCCCTCACTACAGGAGGGACATTGAGGTGCTGGAGCATGTCCAAAGGGGGGCAACGAAGCTGGTGAAGGGTCTAGAGCACGTGTCTTCTGAGGAGCGGCTGAGGGAACTGGGGTTGTTTAGCCTGGAGAAAAGGAGGCTCAGGGGAGACCTTATCGCTCTCTACAACTACCTGAAAGGAGGTTGTAGCGAGGTGGGGGTCGGTCTCTTCTCCCAAGTAACTGGCGATAGGACGAGAGGAAACGGCCTCAAGTTGTGCCAGGGGAGGTTTAGATTTGATATTAGGAAAAATTTCCTCACCAAAAGGGTTGTCAAGTATTGGAAGAGGCTGCCCAGGGAAGTGGTTGAGTCACCATCCCTGGAGGTATTGAAAAGACGTGTAGATGTGGTGCTTAGGGACATGGTTTAGTGGTGGACTTGGCAGTGTTAGGTTTACGGTTGGACTCAATGATCTTAAGGGTCTTTTCCAACCTAAATGATTCTATGATTTGTAACATATGTCATAGCAAGGTGGGAATTACAAGCTTGCTGCAAATTCCCACAAGTTGTCTTTGAAGAACTGCCCTGGTTTTAGGAATGGAAATCTGTAGAATTTATTCAAATGAAGAATTCAGAGTTTCACTTCAGCAATATTTACTTTAAAACCCAGTTCCTCGTTTTGCATCCAACCTAAATTATTCCATGATTCTTGCTACTCTAATTTTCTGAAATACATGAATGCATACTGATTACTACACCTCCTATATTAAAAAGTTGTTAATCTTATGCCTTGCTGGTGAGTTTATGGCTGTCAGAAGTTTGTTTTTAAACCTGTTCCTCATTTAGCTACACACAGGTATTATCACTTTATTCATTTCATTGATCATTTATTTAGTGCTCAGCGGTAGAGGCTGATCATCATCTTCCTTTTTCACCTTGTATTTTCCGTGTGGTGTGACTATTCATTAATGTATTTGAGAAACACAGTATCATTCGCCAATAAAAAGCCAGGTTAGAAAAGGAACAATTCACTCGAATGACAGCACAATAAATGGTCATATTAGAAAAGCAATATAGGTTTGCTTTGTTTCGTTAAAGTAAATCTAAATTTCTCAACTCTGATACAACATCCAGTTTATAGGTTCAGGATTGTGAGCCCACTGAAAGGTTAGGCCTTTAAAAATAAATTAGAACCAAACTCCTCCTTTTCAAATGTTAAGTTATACTGAGGCTGATTGTTTTGCCTTTCTTTAGGAACATTGAATGGAAGGAAAAAGATCAGTGGGTTTTTCAGACTGTTATCAATCAGTATCGAAGTGATCTTCAGAGGAGGACGACTTTGTACCTCGATGTGCTGCAGAGATACCTTCCTCACAAATCTAGGCATGATCTGGTCAGTGTTGTTTTAAATATTAGATAAATTATATAAATTCTTACATAAATCATGTAGTAAGCATTTGTATTAAAGAATTTTTATCACAGTTTTAATTTTAAAATTTCTTAATTACAAATTTTATTCTGCACAGTGAAGAAGGGTTGTCTCTGTCTTCAAAATGCATGAACTTGAAAACCTATCACTTCTTCAAAATAAGCACGGTGGAGATTTTATAGTTCCACATACTCTTACAGCCAAATTCACAAAATTAGTTTGTTAGCATTGCTTTTGCTGTACAGTTTTATAGTTAATGTCATGCTATTCTGCTTCTCTTGGTATTTTTATTTTTTATGAGGATGTATAGCATTGTCGCACTGTCTAGGAATAGTTATTTTAATTGGTCTGTGGCACGTATATAGCAGGAAGAGTGGAAAGTTATCTCGTGCTCTCAGGGAGAGGCTATTTTTAAATGTATAATGCCTTTAAAATTGATTGCTGATTCCTTTTACACTCCACAGTGAATAAGCACATAGCAGCTAATAGAGAAACCCATTTCAAAGCCAGAACACTTCAGGATGTCATAAGTAAAGTAAGAGTCTTTTTTTATCTCTGCACGTATTTTTAGACCATCTACTTCCTTGTGTTTGAGGAGTGCCTGGTGCAAAGGAGTGACAGTGAAGTGATACTGATAATTAGCATAGTTTCACCAAAAATAAAGTTCTTGTGGATTTCAGAACTTTTGCCTGTGAGAACTGGGCTAAATAATTACGTGCTTTGTACAATGGAGGTATATTTTAAGCATAGCCATTATTAATAAGTCTCCCTAATTCTTTGACGGTTCATTTAAAATTTAAAAACTATAAATTTAAAAATCATAATTCTGTATTGAATTGATGTCTCTCAGTATGTGTATTAGCATGACAAATACAGAAATGTTAAAACAGTACTAAGAATCTGTTCTTAAAATGTTTGTGTTACATTAGAATGTTAAACTTAGAGCTTTCTCTGCCTTCTTCCCTCTGAAGAAGAATGGATCAGTGGACAAGCACTGACTGCTTGATCCAGTAGCAGCTCATCAGAGAGGTCTATTTTTAGAAGCGCAAACTCTCCATCCCATTTCTTGCTTATGAGTGTCTTAGCTTTAGGTGCTTGCTAGCAAGGCTCGCCTGAGTTTGTGGCACCAGCAATGGCAATGTGATCTTCTGATGTGGTGGCCTATGTGCATTTGACCAAAGAGAAGCTCCAGAGGTAGTGGTACCACTTTATCTTCATCCAGCTATGAGCTGATAGGAATATCTGTGAGCTAGGCGCCAGACGAGTCAGCATCCCTCTGTCCCCTGCCAAAAGCCTGGAAATTAGCTTCAGGAATGGTCCCCTTGACACTTGTGAGCAGACAGCCATCTCTAGAACCTCCTTCATCCCTGTAACTTGTATTTTTTGGAATATGACAGGTCCAAGACTTTACTGCCTCAGTCAGTGCAGCCTTACCTGTTAGTACTTCTGTCAAAGTCTTGAAGCTTGAATGTCCTCGGGAACCTCACTGAATAAGGCCAAAGATGTATTTAAGATTAAACAGTCACCATTTTTGTTAGGTGGTGACATTGGTGGTGGCGGTATGCTGCTTGCAAGCTAAAAATCTGCTTCCAAATTTCCTGTTAAGAAAGAAAAAGTAAAGCTAATTCTCACCAGTACTGCATTTGTGCAATTGCTTTAATTGGTGTTCTGTTTCTCTATAGATCATAATTTGCTACGAAGACCCTCATCTTGCTAAAAGTGCTCAATATCTCTGAAGGTGTATTGAAAGGACTTACTTGCATTTTATGTACTTTAGGGCAGGAAGGAACTATTGCATTTAATTTATTCATATTGCAAAAGCATAGTTCAGAAAAGAACAGTGGGACATTAGGATATTGAAGTGCCTTGTGGTACAAGCAAACAGGGAAAGGCTGGAGTGGTATCACTGCCTACTGACACTGGGAGACTGCAGCATACTTGGCACCTGACAGAATACTTTTGGGCCCTAAATTGTGGATTCCATAGGAATATTGGTGCTATAATAATTAAATCAATTATATTCCAGGTTTGCAAAAATGTCTAGAATTATTTTATTTTATGAATGCATAATTTTTAAACCTTTCTGAAATGCTTTACTTTTTTAGGTTGTTCATGAGAAAGCTTGGGATCGTTACCATTTCATTAGGAATCAGCACAGAGTCTTGATATTAAATTGGGCTGAGGCTAGGAAAGCCTTTTTGCTTAGGGCAGTGACGACTGTTGCTGAAGCCTCTGCTGCTCATGAGACAGAAGTAGTATTGGCTAATACCAGGCAAAAGCAAGAGGAGATTTGTGCTGATCTGAAAGCAAAGGTAGGTTGAGTTTTAAATCTACCACATGCAAATCTGTTTTTTACTGGTAAATTCAAAATGAAGTTACAGTGTTTAAGTGAAGAAAAACTAACTGAAGCTATTTGTCACAATCCTGTTTTTACTGGCCTGATTGAATTGTTTTGGGCAGTTAGGGGGGGGAAAAGAAAACTATAATCTGTTGGCAGAGGTCAGTGTGTTTGTGAAGCTTGACTTGCAAATAGTTTTGAAGATGCTGTGTTTCATTACCAGTAAGGATCCTTGTTAGTGTTTCAACCAGCTCTTGAACTTAGTTTGTCCTTTTTTATTAAGAATTTGATTAACTAGCACGCTTTAGACCTTACTATGAGTTTCATACTGTGGGTATAATCTCTGTATAAACTGCAATCACATTTATTTTGATGGAATTTGAGCACCATTGAAGAGTTTGAACTGTATTTCAGTATTGGAAGAACAAGATTTGTTCTGCAGTTTACTACCATATGAGAGACTGTAAGCAAGCTACAGGAGTAAAGGTCTGGCATCATATTCCTTGGGTTCCTTTGTAACACTGGCAAATCACGAAGTATTTGTGTGTTTCTTTCTCAACAAAGTGGGATTGATATCTATACTGTCTGAGGCTTAGTTCATAATTGCTTTTAACACTAGAATCCTCAGAAGTGGAAGTGAAACATTCCTTTCATCATCGCTACCACCAGTTTTTTAGATTAATGCTGGTCTGTTTTCAGAGAAATAATGAATATCTGTCTTCCCTTCTGTTTATTTTTAAGAATGCTTTCTAAGACCTGAAAAAATGGGTCCCGTAACTTGTTTGCCCTTGTTATGGAGGTTTTGTAATATTCTGAAAGGTGATTTACTCTGTTAAGAGGTGAAAAAAGATAAAAATATCTGGGTTGGTTTTGGTAAGAGAATAGAATAAAATGGGAGGAGCCTGAACACAAGAGGAAAGTGTTATGATGTTGATGCCTAAGGCATTTGTAAGGGGAATTACATTTCTGGGCATGAAAGGCATGTTAAGATTTGTTTAAACTCCTCTCTGTGATTTTCCACTTGCACAGAAATTAACATCAGAAAGCATATATGGTGTATTATTCTCACTTCACCAACATTATCTCTGTTGAACCCTTACTTTTCAGCAAAATACTAAACACTTGATTTTGACTTTCTACAAGTAGAAAAACACATTAAAACCTGTACTGTGATTAAGATTTTTGATGTTGATGGTAGTTTTTCACTATAGTAATAATACAAAAAAACCTTCTGTGTCCTGTTCCTGGAGCCGTCTGTCATAGGAAGGTTTGAATCTAAACACTTTAGGGTTAGAAACTGTCTGGGCTTGACTAAGTGGGGAATACCCCATTTTAACTCCTGTGGCAGGCTTCCCTGGAGCCAAGTGGAGTAAGGAGCAGTTCTCTAGAATTGATAGGGGGGTTTGGTGGGTTTTTTTGTTACCTAGGCATCCCTTTCTGGAACTGCTGTGTGTCTCTTTATCTGCACAATTAGAGGTGGAAGGGCCATTTGTTCCAGAACTGTGAATTTATGAGTCAGTCTTTTTTTTCTTTTTTCTTTTTTTTTTCCTTCCCCGCAAAAAGTAGCACGCAAGTGTTGGAGTATTTATGTCGTCTCCGTGTAGCTTAAGATTCTCACTGATGCAGTGAACGCTGTCTGAAAGTTTTTTGGATTCTGACCTCCTGTTTCCAGTAACCTGGAACTGTTTGAAACTTATACCTATTAGGCCTACACTTTTCAAGGGTTGCTTTCAAAGGTGGCTTTGTTAAGATGTTGAACATTTGAACAAAAACAATTCACCTGTTTCCCAGAAAAGAGGAATGAAAAAGGTACTTTTTTTTTCATTAAAGCAGGATATCATTGTGACCTTGTTTTGATCAGCTGTACAGCTGAAAGGGCTAGAGGACGGAAGTTGAAATTGGGCAAGGAGCTAGCTGTTTTTCAAAGAAATTATTCTGAATGTATCCATGCTCTTTGTTTGGATTCAATGGGTATATGCATTTGAAAACTCATACTTTACCCAGTTATAGTTCATTTTACAGACTTGTCTTTCTACACTTCTGAAGCGTGCAACTACAGAATGTCATACTGTGGAAAGTGGCTGTTGGCAGCTATCAGGTAAAAAGTAACTCTCAGTCTAGTGAGTTAACTTAAACTGATAAACCCCCATCCTGACAAGGATCCGTAAGATGTGGTAAAAAGTGAATCTGTCTCTAAGGGAATGAGTGTAGAGCTGGAAATCAGGGATTAAGACTGTTCTTCCACTTTTTGACTATTAATTGACTTAATTTTTTGCATTTCAGTAAGTTTGGCATAAGGAAATCTTACTCGTATCACTTTCCCAGAGGGAAAATGTAGTTGCTATAATGATTTAGCTGTATAGTAAACTCTGGGTATGCTTGTGAAGAGTTTGTATCCTGAATGTGAGAGAAATAGATCTCCTTCATTACACCAGCAGGTTTCAGAGGAAGTCATAGCATTTCTATGCCTATTTACATCAGCTGTAAAGTGAAGTTATGAGACACACACACTGTAAGATATGTAAGCAGTTCTAGAAATGCAAAGGATCGTTACATCCATTTTGCAGACAGAATATGCAGAAATACATTAAAACTAAAATGGATTGTTTAAGCAGCTGTTAATGATAGAGTGGGAGAAGACTAAACTCTGACTATGACACCTTTCATTTAACTTCCAGTCAGTAAACCATTTAGCTGGTTTACTTATTTGCTTTGAAAGGGATATCTTTCTGTAAATTTCTATGCTGCTTTGAGTTTGTGGGGGTTTTCAAAAGAGTTTTCTTTCTGTGTGAAAATCAGTTAGTTCCTAATTGTAGTACAGATTGAGCAATGCAAAAGAGAAAGAAAATACTCATGTGACAGGCTATGCATTTTTTTATTACTGCAATAACCACATGATATGACCTAACTTTTATATAGTTCTTTTTATCTGTCAACAACAAACCAAAGGCATAGCAAACAAATTAAAGAATACATTATTTAAAACTGTTTTAAATGCACTAGAAGCAACTATGCCATCAGTGAGACTCTAGGTCTTGTGACTGACAAGAGGTGATAACAATTAAAAAGTAAAGCAGCAGAGAAGTTGAATTAATGTTTATAGCAGTTTTTACTTGGGGAAAGGACTTTCAAATTCTTATTCCATGTTCCATCTCACAGAAGATCAATGTATGTCCTTAACAGAAATCAGCGTCTCTAAGGAGGAATTTTGAAACAACTCAAGAAGCTCAGGTGAAATAAATCACGAGGGCCATATGGTAGTCATCTGAATGAAATAAAGTGTGAAATGGATAATTCTAGTGAGAATATACTGTACATTCTTAAAGTGGTACATATCTTTAACACTGCTGTTTGCCGTGGGAAAACAAACGAAACAAAAAAACGTGGGGGGGGTTACACTTCAATGAGTGATCAAGAATCACTCATGTTTGGTATGCTTTGGTATACTGTGTGGATTTAACCACTTTCAGGCTTCTGTAGCAGATGCTGTGTAAAAAAATTCTCTTTCTGTGTAAAATTCCTCTTTCTAAACAACATAGAGAAGCAAATTCTTCTATGTCACAAGGCAGTTAAGTAATGAAGTGAGAGAGCTGTCTTTTAAGAGGGTTAGTAGGGTGCTGCTTCACAGTTGGTGTTTGAAGGATTGAAGTACGTGCTGTAAGACATTTAGAAATTCAGTCAAGGTATCTGCATGCATTCAAAACATTATTTTTCTATGGAATTTATCTTAAAATATTTATAATCCAGTACTTTCCATCTTCATACAAAAAATTTTAAAAGGACTCTCAAGGGAAGACCTACAACAGTAGACAAAAGGACAGTTGAATCTCCTGTGTATGATGCACAGGGTGGGCTTTTTCTTCCTTAGCATAAAGCTATGTGCCTGCCTGCCTTTAAATCTTTTCTCTTTCTCTTTTTGTGTTCCAGGATTAATCCCCACTCCAGAGCTAAAATCTCTTGCAACACATTGTGAATTTTTGGAGAGCAACTCTTGCATTCCTTACCCTGGCAGAAACTAAGATAAATTAATTTTGAAAGGAAAAGAGAGAGGTGGAATTAACTGGGATATTGCAAATCATATAAAGCATGTTGCAGATTGCCTTCCTTCTCCCTTCCTGTATAATGAGAAGAAAGGATGCTTCAGTAAACTCGGGGAAAAAAGTTGTATCTCCCTATTCAGCATGTAGACAAGTCACAGATTTGAATTATTTGACTGCCATAGGTGATCAACATTGAAATATTACAACTGAATGTTAAAAAAAAAAAATGTCTGGATAGGTATCAAACCTAGTACTTTGATGATAATCTGATCATTTTGCAGGAAACTTTTTAAAAAATAAATATTTAATTAGTGGGATATTTATAAGAAGAGTTTTCTTTTTCAGAAGCATCGTCTATTCACCACTGAGGTGACCTGTTCATTTGTTGGATATGAGAAATACAAGGAAGTTTTAATAACCTAAATTTTAAATACAGATACTCATTCAGGAAGTATGTGGAGAACTTAAGAGTTGTAGGATGCTATAGATTTTCTCCAAAGTGGCTGTGAGCGAATATCTAAGATCTTAAAATTCACCAAAGATGAGCCAACTCTGACTCAGTAGTATGTTTTTAATCCAGAGCTAATAAAACTGGATTTATTAGTTTGAGGTCACACAGCATTGATGGATTACATGGCTTTTGGGTCAGATAAAGCTCATACGCAGTAAGCTGGAAGCACGTGCAGAGATTGTCTCTGCAAATTTTCCTTGCTTTTCCTTTCACCCCTCCTTTCCCCCTGTTTTCCTATACCACGTACTCTATCACATGATTTTGTTATTTCTGAATCTATCAACCTCTCTATTGAAATCTTCTCACAATGTATTACCTAATATTTTGTCCGAGGATATGGCAGATTTAAGGGGTTACCATCCCAAATGTTTTTTCTTAGCTCCTGGTGCAGTTCACAGGTCTTTGTCATGGTGATGCAACTGT